ATCAAATTTATTATTTCAAAATCTTGCAATGAAGACTTAAATATAGACTCCACTCGACGCCCATTAACAGTTGCAACCTTTACTTAATACGGAACCCAAAGCGAAAAACGCCATACGTAAGAACAAACTATGTTCGACAAGCATCACATTTTCATATCACTAAAATGCTTAATAGAACAAATATAGACATAAACGACATAAACTTAGACCAGTCGTTTGGTAGTTTCAAACTTTTTTTGCAGAAGGATGCTAGTGGCGAGTGATGTGGCATTTTCCTTGGTATAAAAACTTTTTTTAGGTGTAACGTTGTTTCATTTTTCCCGACAGTACTCATGAATTTGCATAGCAGTACATGTCCGACCTTTTGCAAAGTCTGTCATTTGCCCATCAACAAAGTGTGCAGATGTTTTTAACTTCAAATAATTGTTTGACCTGTTTTGTACACGTTTCATTTCGTGTTTATTCCTTACACCCTCATTTATGTTCCCTGTTCATAGCGTGTTTTACTTCGTTACAGCGGTGATTTCGTTGGTTTGGTTGAAACGTTTGTTGATCCTATGTGAACTGTACGATGGGGAGGCAGAGGCTATGTCAGGCATTGTGCCTTTATCTCTGCCCCCTCTGCGGAAACAAGATCGCAAAATAAATATGTGGAGTTGATAAACTGCCGATTTCCTTTTATTGCAATTAGAGTCAAGTCCTATTTTTGAGACCATTGTGCGACGAACTTCAGGTCATTGTACAACGATTGTACGACGAACTTGAGGTCATTGTATTGGCTTGGCTCTAATCAACTTCAGTTAAATGTTGCGAAAACAAAATATGTAATTTTTAAGCCACGAAGTAAACCTGACGATTGTGAATTTTTTTTTTTTTAAATTCCAAAACTCTGTCATCGAGCGTGTCAAAGTTTATAAATTTTAGGAGCTGTTTTGAAGAAAATCTAAACTGGACACCTCATATAAATAGAATGCATGCAAGCATCTCAAGATCTATTGGTATTTTATACAAAATTAGATCGCTGGTTCCATGCTGGTTAAAGCATCAGTTGTACTATACTTTAGTGTACTCTTATCTCCATGTCTGTTTATTAGTTTGGGGTTCAACAACTAAAACAAATATTGATATGTTGTTTCTTTTGCAAAAAAAAGCGATACGTTGTATAGAAAACCTTCAGCGTACTGACCACACAGCACAGATATTTTTTTAAATACGGTTTTCTTACCATTAGCCAGCTATTCCTTCTTAAACTTTCAATGCATATCTATAACTAAATAATCAGTGACCCCACCCGCTTTTTTGACGCACTTCTTCCTAGTAACACACGATACAATCTTCGTCACAGCTCCTATAGAATACCTTGGTGTAGGACAAATTATGGACATCACCAATTAGCATACTTAATACCTGATTTCTTAAATAAACATCCCGCTGTTATGGAAATAATTTCAGATTGTGCATCAAAACACAGCTTTAAAATTAGTATAAAGCGGTACCTTCTGTCATGTCACGTTGAGCAAATACTATTAGATCGTATTTTTATTGCGTATGAGTTGTATTACTTGTTTCATTTATTTCCAAAGTGTTAAGTGCAATAACGATTGTATGGGCTCTGTACAAAATCTGCTGTGTTGATTGATATTGATGTTCTATTGTATCTTTTTGTGGTTCTTTAATGTTTATTGTTTTTGTTTTCGCCTGCTGAGCATTGTAAACGTGTGATAGGACCACGTCAGGCAGAGATAATCTTCATTTTGTCCTTTTACCCTTCACCTAGTGTCTAAATAAAACCAATTCATTTCAATTCAATTCAAAATTAATATACCCTGGCTTGTTTGAACAGGTCTGTTGATGCCACTATCATCGGCACTAGGTGAAGTGCTCCAAAGAAGCGTGATTGTGGAGATGCTCTTTATTTACAACAAAAGGATTGTACTAAATTTTAAAGATGTAATTTTGCGGTATTTGGGGCAAGAGTAAAAACGCAGAACACGTAAGCTGCCAAGAATTTGATTTATATAAAAAATAATTGTTTATTTTTTTATCTCCTTCCCGCCTACAATATAATGCAACCCTCCCCCTCAATCTACAAAAGATAGCGTCGCTTCCACGTAGCGAAAGTGTAACAATGTATCGATATAGGGCCGAAGAGGTTCTCTACATCTGAACTGCTCTTTCGGTCCCATTATCGGCGCCGTAAGTTCCTCTGTAGCTTATAAAATACGCCGTCTGTTTTACACCAACTTAAACATGACGTCTCTCGGCAATCTCCGAGTTCCTCTGTGTGTTTTCGCGTAAACGCGAGTTGTGTGTGCGATTATTAACCCCAATGCCTTCTCTTTTTCTCTTTTTGTACTTTTGCTTTTTTTTTCGAACATGACATCATCGATCGTTAATCTTCCGCGTAACAGACGATGCGCTCCGCAGTTTTCTTATCCCCCATTTCACTTGAAGTTCGACCGCAGCCATCGCTATACGGTATGAAGGAGGCAACCAATCAGGCAGCGCGTCCGCTATCACTGGCTAAACCAATCACGCAGAATGAATTCGGCGCGATGTTTTTTATATGTGCGTGATTTGCTCCGTCGGATCGGATCGATGACTGCCGTTGAACTAAATATGAAACTGGGTATGCAATACCTTCGCCTCTCCCTTTAAGGTACGCATGCCGCTACAGGAACTATTGGATCAAAGAAAAGCTGGTTCATGAGGAATTCTCCCTCCTGCTGGGACCTCTGCGGAAAGTCTTCATTACGGCAAGGGTTTTTTGGTTTGACAATGCGTGTTACGCGGAATCATATCCCCCTTTATTCTTGAAAGCATGGCAATTACCCGACGGAGCCACTGAACGCCCGACCGCCTTAAAAAAAGCGAGGAGCAGCGCCGAACGGTTACGTATATATATGGTAGTGCAGATCAACTTCTGGGGTGACCAGGGAGTCAGCGCCACGCGATGGCCTGCGGCCTCTCCACGAAACATGTTTGCGTTTGGATGTTTGCATTACCTCCGAGATCATTTCCACCCGCAGGCGGTCAGCAGCGCGGTGGAAGAAAAGGAGGCTATGAAAAGGGGAGGGGGGGGGGGATGAGGGTGGTGCTACTGGCGCGTGTATAAACGGGAGAGGGGCGGAATAGTGGAGTGTCGACGCAAAATGTTATCCTTTTCCGAAAGAAGCAAAACGAAAAGGAGCACATCCGTGTTTCCGGATTTTACCGCCAGGGGAAATCTTTGGCGCTGCATGATAGGCCCCTTGCGTATGCCCTCTTCCCTGATCTTCTTTGCCCCTTCCAGCAGCCACGTTGTTTCGCGATCTGACATGCTTTCTAGAATAAAGGAGGGTATGAGAATATACAAGTGCTCTGAAGAGTGAGACATTATTGCTAAAGGCTAGAACCTAACTCGTTCCGATTAAGTTTGCTATGTATAGAGGGACGCACGGCGCCTCTCCTGTGGGGCATTCAAATGCCGTCCGACAGCGTTCGAAGCCAGCCTTCAAGGAGCCCTCAGACCTCAGACTTCTTCAGGGACCCTGTGCAGGGTTTTCTCGAGCGATAATCAGGCGTAAAACAATCGTATAAATAGAGCAACGAACGGAGTGATTAAACATTTTACAAATGCGTCTTTAAGCAGTAAAATGATCATACTAACATTTTGTTAATGTGAGTTAAAAAGATGCAAGAAACAAAAATAAAACAACAACAGCGTGCCATTCCTGTGCATCGAAAGAGAAGTGGAAACAAACCATTTTGTTGACGCTGCTGCTCACATACGGTGTCACACACAGATCTGTCGGATCTGCTTACGGGTGAATTCATCTGAAAAAGCTTTCATGTCTTTGTTCCAAGTCGTGCCATCTGGTAGTAACAGAGTCAAACAGACCGTTTGTTTTCGTTTTTCTCTCTGTGCGTAGAAATAGCACGCTTTTTTATTACTGATTTGTTTCTTGAAATTGACGTTTACGTAACTGTACCGTATTTTCCGGGCTATATCCCGCACCTGGTGTATAGTCCGCAGGGGCCAATTTAGGCTGAAAACAAACGCTTTTGCTTAAATAGTCCGCACCTGGTGCCTAGTTCGCACGCCGTGCATAGTCCGCATCTGGTGCTTACTCGACAAGAAAATCTTCTAATTTACGGCACCGCTTGACAGATGTCTGCTTTCCTATTTCTCAAAGAAGCCTGTATTATACATGAATCATCATTAACATACTCTTTCATTCACAAATTCCCTCACGTTTCGTCAGAATGAACGATCTTGAAAAACAAAATTTCTGTATAGTCCACACAGCCCGAAATTTTAACTTTTAAAGCTGTATAGTCCTCGGTCTATAACCCGGGAAACACGGTTAAATGATAATAAGCGCATCACCTAAACACATTTTTAATAAAAAGTTTCAGTGCACTCCCTGCAGCTTGTGTAGAGGCGGTAAGGTGTTCTTTGGCCTGAAGTTTTTCGAAGTTCCAAGCGCTCAAATTTATGGTTTGAGCGCGTGTACTCTTGTAGTTGAACGGTGTTTGAAGGTTTGAAAGATTACAGTGGGACAGCGCTTGACATATACTTGACCAATTTAAATTTAGCATTGAAGACATTAACATCGCTTCTGTGCTGATGAAATAAAAAAAAAGAGTTTAATAGGATCACGATTTCATAGCAAATAATAAAGAAAAATAGGACTGAGTCTGAAACATATGTGTGGCACATGATAAACGGCCTGACTAAGTTGATGCAACGTAGTCTTACATGCCACGTAAATAGACTGACTGAAGTATTGACCATAACCAGATCTTTGCAGTATATAGCCTTCCAAGTCATAAATTGACTACCGATAACAGCATGGTCTACGCCCATTACAACAGGTCGGTCGCAACAGACTTTCCACTACCCCATCCGTGCTGCTATTATGTTTCTTGTTTACCAAAAAAAGAAAAGAACTAACTTAACAGCCAATCTCTGTCTTCTTGCAAAGTGCGATGGAGGAGAAATCAGTCTAAAGATTGTAATGTCGCTGGTGCTCTTGCCTTTGAGAACTGCCATGCTTTCATGTATTTGTTGCAACATAAGAACCACAGGAAAAGCTCCACTCAATGGCAAATGCGCCAAGGTGAGCTGGAGCATTTTACAGGGCAAAGCTCTTAGGCAACTGTTTCCGGCTCGAGCGACAACGCCGTCGCTGTCGGCGTAACCGCGCGTCGCATTATGGGACGTTTCCCAAAATGACGTCACACGTGACGTCACATGTGACGTCATGAGGATTACCCTCGTGAGGGTTACGAGGGTTACCCTCACGATGGTTACGAGGGTTACCCTCACGAGGGTCACGAGAAGCATGAGGGTTACCTTTACGAAGGTTACAAGGTTTACCCTTACGAGGGTCACGTGGGTCACGAAAGATACTCTCACGAGGGTTACCCTCACGAGGTTCACGAGGGTTACCCTCCGAGAGTTACCTTCGTAACGTCACACGTGACGTCACGTGTGACGTCAATATAGGAAGCACGTGACGTATGACGTCACGTGACGTCACACGCATCTAACATTGCCTATATTCCAGCTAAAAATTAGAGGGTAAATTTTTTCGCGAAATATCGCGGAAAAATATTCTTGCTAAATCTACCCTAGTGACGTCACGTGTGACGTAACGAGGGTAAAATTTATTCCGCTCAATATACACCTTTCCAAAAAACACTCGACCCCAGGGGCAACAAACCGTTTTCGAGCCCAGTCACTGAGTTTGAGGCTAGACTCTTACCGGCGTCCCTCCTAACCCTAACCGAGTGGACTGTGATTTCAATAGGCGCAGCCTGCGTAGGCGCAGTTTAAAACGCTGCTGGCGGCTAAATTCTCGTCTTTTCCCGCTATATTTTGTGTTTCATGGTACATGTATTTTCTCAAGGACATTGAGAAAGTATTATGCCACATTTAAAAAAACAAAAAAAGCAACAAAAAACTAAACTATTTCTATTGGGTACGCGCACGACAGAACGAATGCGACTGGAATATATAGTTCTAGTTATTTGTTTTTTTCTTGCGATAAGTTTTGACGGCGCCGCGGGATTCGCCGCATGTGAAACAACAAAGCGCTTTGCTGTCAAAAATAAATTACAACAGAAGGGGGCCGAAAGGCACGCATTTTTCACGGTCACAAATAACGTGTTTATCGATGGACAGGGTACGGACATACAATTGAGGAAGTGTTAACATTCCAACAATAAATCGTATACGTACCACACGATGCAGCGTTATCCGAAAAGAATTTATTTGAGAAAGATCTCAAATAACACAATCACAGTCGACGAAAGTCACATCTTGACGATCGGACGGAATCCGAGATGACTTCGTTTTGGGGCGCGTTTTGGGGACAGCTTCCTTTTTTCACAACCGCACCAAGGCAAAGAAACAAACGCGACTGACCCGTTTCTCACCCCAACCCGGACAACTATTTTTGGAGATGACTGAGGATTCTACCCGGATTATCTCTGGGAGGGGAGAGAAGAATGTTCACAAAATCGCGTCGAGGGTCGTTCGACGTCCTTCACCTCCTTCGTTTCCCGTGAATGTCGAACAGAAAAGCTTGAATGGCAGGCACTTACCAGCCTTATTTCTCACAATGGAGGATAACACAAGAAGAGTATGCAGCACGCATAAAAAAGAATTAAGTGGAAACTTTGAATAGAGGCGAGAAAAAGTCGAATGCAAAACCGCAAAAACGTAGGTAGAGAACCGCGCTGAGCGGGTCTTCACAGTCCCAGAGAGTGGCAGAAAATTTCTAGCTGATAGAGGGCGCGAGAGTCGCACCAGCCGCATCAGCAACATGGCGGCGGCCTAGGAGCGTTTTTTGGAAAGGTGTATAGCTGGGAAGAAAGAGGGGCATACTCTCCTCTCAGTACCCTTTCCTCTTCGTCTTCAAGGGCTGCACCCTGATTCGGCGTTACAGAAATTTTTAAACGTTTTTCATTTTTTGTAAGCGTTAACAAAAAAAAAAAAACATATTGATCGAATCAGTTTTTTCTCTTCACGTGACGTCAGAAAAATGTTGCTTCATACTGAGGGGCGCAGTAACGCCATTTCTCCCCTCGCATTCGCGGACTAATCCTTCCTGCGGACCTATGTTGTAGCAGACTAGTAGAAAGGGATAAGTTAAAGGGGTCATGAAACGCTTTTCCAACTTTTTCCTGTTTAGCTTTCCTCCTCAACTCATAAATCGCCCATTCCACCCAACAGTTAAAGAAGACGAAAAGAAGGGAGGCCCTTCTCGCTCGGAATCTGGTTTGTGTAGCCGGATAGAGCCATTGTCCCCCTAGAAGATTAGCCCGTCGTTCAAAATTCAGACAAAAGTTGCTTTCCCCACCCCGTTCATTCCGAAGCTGATAGTGCTGTTGAAGCTACGTGCTCGTTGGGCCAGCCACACTTGCCACGTGAGCGTGGCAAATGTGGCTGCAGAGAATGAAGTCAGGTGATAAAAGGGAGGTGGCTGATTGGTCCGGCAAGCGCGTAGCTTCCAGCACAACGCCAGCTTAGGGGTGAAGGGAATAAGTGAGGTCCGGTTGCGTGTGACGTCAGTTTGGACCCGATGACGTGCTTTTGGAACCGCGCATGTATCACAGTGAAAAGGCAGAGAGGTTGCGAAGGGGAGGAGGAACGAAATAGTCCGCTCTGTTTTCAAATTTTCGCACTGAAAGTCGGGCTTTTGACTTTCTACCTTTTTTCTTTTGGTCCACTGAACGATGTGGTATTAGTAAAATCCCCATCTAAAATGATTTATCCCAACCCAAAAATCGTTTCATGGGCCCTTTAAAGATGTACGCGAAAGCGTCTTAGAGCTTTTTTTTTTTTTTTTTTATAGTTTTGAACCAAACCTGGTTCAGGCTTTGAATCACACGTTCTATATTTCGACGAGTTATTTTGTTATGCAGGCGTGTTGGAACAACTACCAAGCAATATAAAGGAATTACAATTCAAAGTGCGTAACTTTAAGTGTATTTATTTATTTAAATAAGAATGCTACCTGCTTTACTCACACCAACAGATAAAAGAATCACACCAACAGATAAAACTAGTTAAATCGCAGCTCCATATCCTTTACAAAATGTTCAAAAGACTCCTGATTGAGAATGTTATTTGTTAAATCATTCGTCCCGAATCGCACGATTGCAGTCGTTTTGGAACCTGTTTTAAGTTTACCATACCGGTGAAGATCCTCAAACAAAATGTTCAACCTCCTGAAAATCTGAAACATCAAGCAAGAAAACGGCTCTCTTTCGGGTTCTCATGATATGAATCCGCTTCGCTCGTGTTTTTTGTTCGAAGTCTGAGCGAAACAAAACAAGAAAACCACTCGTGCCACTCCCCAAAACTCATATATTTTCTAATTGCTTGAGGTGTCATGTTTAGATGTTATTTATGTTTTCTTTTTGTTTTTTCTGTAGCCAATTCACCTGGTGGATCAGGAGTTGTATAAGAAGTATGGACGACTATTTGGGTAAGCATAATCAACATATGACGTATCCCAGTGCGAATGAGATGAGCGTGTCAACTAACGAGCTCTGGCTTTTTCAGCTCCTTTGAGGCAGGCAAGCCCGCTTTGTATGTCTCTGAGCCCGACCTCATCAAGTTGGTCTTGGTGCGAGATTTCACCTCTTTGTCCGACAGAAAGGTGCGAAATCAATACGAAAAATGCATAAATTCTCATTTGTTTTACATTAATTGCAGCCTTTGGGTTTGTTTAGCTCGTCAAACACGCTAACCCGGACTATCCTGCCTTGTGAGATTTTAGGTAGTACATCTTTTAAACATATTAAAGGATTTCTTTCCAGACTACTACATTAGAAAGAAACTAGGATTCCATGGTCATTTTAGGGCTATAGTATGTTGCAAGTTAAGAAAAGAAGGACAAGCGCCTCCCACACAGCCTGCCACTCTTTCCACTTTAGCAGGGTGAACTCTGGAGAGGAGGTGAATGGCGAGAAGGAAACAACCAATTATAGCAAGCAAAACGTTTTGCGCGAGAAGCTTGTCCTACTCTCCTTTTCCAGCAACAGACTATAGCCGCGATCACTAATCGCTCAACGAATGTGTCAATGGATGCGAGTGGCGGTATCATTCAAGTCCAAATTAAAAAAAAAAAAAAAAAAAAAATTTACAGCGCCAGAAAGTTTGATATCTGCGCACATCATCGAGCATGACGGCCTGGTTTGGACTTCTTGTGTGCAAGCACGCAAGCATGAAAATAACTTCGCCAAGATTACAGTTTGACCTGTTTGCACAAAGAGCAGATCTTGCATGCGAGGCCAGAATACGCTGTTTTGAAATCATGTATGTAGCGGCAAACGAGCGTACGATTTTGTCAGTCATTGCATCAATACCAATAAGATAGGCGAGGCTTCGTGGTGTCGTTCAGTCTTCGGGAAAACACCGAATGCAATCGAATGCTTTACATGTTGTCATACGCAGTGACCCCACACACCAATCAGTCTACTTCGTGGCGCGAAGAAATGCCAAAAACGACATGCATGCGCCATTTATCCCAAGGTTTGGTCAGCCTACCCAATGTCTCTAATGCCTGAACCCCGCTAGAGCGAAACATAGAATCAAACGACAAACCCCAAGCACATGCAGAATGCACGCGAGGGTACTTTTGGCAGGCTTGCAGCCTCTGGGTGCTCGCGAAGTGAGCACAGTCGAGTTATTGCAAGCCTGCCTGGATACCAGGAATGGGCAGTATTTCAAATACAAGTATTTGAAATACGTATTTCAAATACTTTGTGTATTTTGTATTTGTATTTAATTACAAATTGAGTAATGTATTTGACGTGTGTATTTAAATACTAAAATGTGGGTATTTCAAATACAATTGTAATTAAACACAATTTTGCGGCCGAAAATACATCCCTCAAATTTATTGTCACTGTTCAGAACAGGAAAAAAACTACGTTCTGCACCGAATGCAGTGTCTCTTAGTCAAGCACAAGCGTTTAATGACTTTGTGATTACGGTGCTAGTCCAAGGCAAGAATAGTGACGAAATCGACGTTCACACTGCAGGCAGACTGGCTAAATAACTGCATGTGACAATTTGTGATGCTTTCCAGCCTGATTTCCATCCATATTTTTGCCTGGAACATTCTGAATGTGCGGGTCGTCCAGATTTTCGTAACTTGTGCGAGTTGCAACAATAAAAAATTCTCTAGCTAGTGCTGCGCGTCTTGGTCGTCTCGGTTCTTTGTTGGCCTACACCAAAATGTAATCGACAAAAAAAAAAGCTGCTTGAAGCTCTGTACTTTTTTCATGTCCAAGCTGATTGCATTTTTTGTGATTATATTTCTATTACGTTACTAGAGCCTCGCACACTAACTCCCGAATGTGCGATGCAAAATAAAAATGAGATACCCAGAAACCCGTTGCAGGTGCCCTGAAGTCGATGACGCAAATTTTGAGGAATGTATTTGGAAAAGTATTTGGAGGAGACCAAATACATTTGGTTGTATTTGTATCTTGTACTTAAATGCTTTTTTTGGGAATGTAATTAGCTTTGTAATTAAATACATTTTTGAGGAAGTATTTTGTATTGGTATTTCGATACATATTTGCATGTATTTTGCCCATCCCTGCTGGATACCTTCGCGTACACTCTGCACATGTTTGCGGCTTGTCAGTGTCGGTTGTTTCTGTTTGTCGCTCTAGCGGGACGCAGGCGTAACGGGTCACGTGACTACGTCGGCGATCCTCGTTCAATCGAATCGGAGTCACGTGACGCTTAAGAGGCTTACAATTGATGCGAATGGCACGTTATAGTTCTGGCATCGAGTCGGTGAGTGCCGTTTGTACGCGAGAAAACCGAACGACATCTTGTAGACCTTAAGATGTGGAACGATAAAAAGAACGGACGAACACAACAAAATCTCCAATCTCTTGTTGAGATTTTGTTGTGTTCGTCCGTTTTTTTTTGTGTTTTTTTTATCGTTCCCATCTCAGGGTCTACAAGATGTCGATTAATTACCAAAGCAAAAATAGTCTAGACATGGCGGAGTGCTAAAACTCCGTCAGAACGTAGCCCCAGCCGTTCGAGCCAGATGCCAAAGTTTCAGCAACGACCGTTATATTATTCAAAAGTTATAAGCGATTTCCTGAAACTTTCAATGAAAAGTTGGCGGACGACGGAGCTCTCAAATGCACGGAGCTCAATGGCGGCAGAAACTAAAACCGGGCGGAAATGGGCCCCATTTTTTCAGTGAAAATTACAGAAAATCACATATAACTATTGAATTAGGTAACGGTTGGTGCTGGAACTTCGCCCTCGTGCTCGAACGGCTGGGGCTACGTTCTGACGGAGTTTGAGCTGTCCGCGATGTCTATATTTCATTTCAGCTTAAGTGCAGACGCAGCCAATGCTATATTGGGAGTATTCACTGGCGGCCATAGCCGTGTGCGCGACTGCTGAGCGCGTGCTGATGGCGAGCTTCCACAGTTCTTTTGCAACGTGCATTCCACACCATCAAGATTGCCGGTCTTAGCAACCTCTTAATGTGGGTTTGTTCTGAGCATGCGCTCTAAACAACACCCACAAATATGGCGTTCACTGAATGCTCGCCTCGAGATTGAACCGTGTTGCCACCGTGCGGCCGAAATGGGAAACATGCGAAAGCGGGGATACCGCCGTGCGTCGTCTGCTACGGGCGCACGTTCAGAAGCATGGATCTCTACGACGCAATCCCGTTTCCAACTGAGCTTGACCCTCCTTACTTCATTTATTATCCCTTAAAGGCCCCGCAGGGGCATTACATAAGGGGGAGGGGGGGGGGGGCAATACAAAGAAGCACACGAGTAGAACTTTCATACAATAAAAACAAAAAAACAAAACATCATTTAATTTATTATCATCATTATCATCATCATTTCATTTATTATTAAATGTTGGACGTTTTCATTGTCGTTTCTTCTTACTAAAGGTTGTGTTGTATCGTTCCACATGCGTAGAAATTCAGGAAAGCGATTATTATAAAGTCGGATCGAAGCTTCCATAATCCTAGTGTGTTGGTTTGTATTCAACTGCTGGTTGACGTATTTTTCTTATCTTGCACAAATCATAGCTTTCATAAAACATTGAATGTTGATTTGAGTTGTGGTTTAATTAAAAATTAAACCGACTGATCGCTACCCTTTAATAGACGAATCAATGAATAAATCTGTTAGTTGCTTTTCCGCCGGTCATATTGCATGAAAGGCGTCAAAACTACACTTTTTTTTTACTATTTTTACTGTGCCATAAATGGCATATAGCATCCCCATTTTAAACTTCACGTTCCGATGAAGTTTAAAAATGAAGTAATTTTTAACTAATTATGTAAACAGTATAATCACTCTCTGTGACAATCAGAAGCACGCTGAATCGGTTACCGTGCGAGCCTGTGTGACAAAAGAAATTAACACGCTAAAAATATGAAAGCAGGCATTTTTTACTTTTTGCTGACTTTCACCAGCACAAGATTCCGCTTCAATGGCAAAAAAGAAAACGTAATTAAATCATAACTCGATTAATCTGAAGGTTAATCGATGAACTGCCCAGTCTCGATATGCGTCAGCTGAGGGCGGAGGGTGACGGGAAAGTCTCGTGAGAGTCGCTAACACTCATCAGTAAAAGAGTGTCGCTGCATCCGATGCTGTCTGTGTCGTGGTTCGGGTCGTTTGTTAAAGTTGCAGGAACTACTGTGTTTAAGAAGACGGTTATTTAGTCAGAAATTTATAATATTAGCCTCTTGACCTCTGCGGCCTTCACCAGGAATATTGAAGCGGTTGAATCCACACTACCGAAAAGGGCATTTAATAGCACGAACGTTGCTGCATTGCTCGGTCACACTCGTTTATTACACTCGCGGCAGATATAGTAAAACCGTTTGTTTCACTTGTTTCAGTTGTCGTGTGAACGTCCAGTTTGCGGAACGTCACTAGAAGAGGCACTCTCTCCTCATCGCGACGTAGTAGAAATGTTCAAGCTCCGAAAAACGTACCCACACCGCGGCACAGTGAAGGCAAACATTGGCTGCAGAGGAACTCAATAGCGCGGTAATTTCCAGCACAGCACTAACTTCTCCTCATGCTAAATATTTATATCACTGCAAAAGCTAACAGTTAAAAAAAATGCACTGGACCTGCGATTTCACAGCCCACAGTACCAGTATTATGTTATCCGAGTTGGAATTAATTATGTTATTGAATTCCCACGCTGGTCAGCAATGCAAGCGTGACGTTTACATTGCTTAATGTCACAACTCAGACTGCGTTTTTTGGTCTGGACATATGTTTCGGCATCGTCATTTTCTGAGTTGCCTCCGTAAGTTGCGGCGATTGGCTCTCCGAGTGTTGTGCGGGAAAGCAGATGCACGGGGTTTTTTTAGAGTGTATTTTAAAAGAAACAAGTATTTAACGTAAATAGTGCAGTTCAGCCGGAGACAGGCATCCGTCGTGGTGATCCATGCTTCCCAACGTCTACCTAGAGCAGACGACGGATCCGCCCAAGCGATTATTTAAATTTAGGCCGTACGCTAGTAACACGATTCGACCTTCATTGAAGCACCGAACAGTACCCCACCATTTTCCGCTAAAATTGTTTTCCCACCGATACTATGCGACAAAATAAACGCAAGTATCTACGCCGTCTCGCGCGCGAACATGGAGAGACTATGGGGCGGCCGTGCTTCTATCCCCTCTTTGATGATGATGATAGCGCGACAGTAGCGCCACATCTAGGTCAATCTCGAGGGCAGTAGGAGCGCGGGCTCCGGGCTTTCAGTGCCCCTGCCAGGCACGCGCGCTCGTGCAGCGCAACCACTGTTCAGGGCCACATGCTCGCGCTTGTAGCATTGCGTCTGGACTTCAGCTGAAACGAAGTGTAGTTTATTTTTGCGGTGCGAAAAACAGGGTTCAGTTTTCTCGCGCACGCCGTATATATATGATCACAGCGTGCATCTTTAACGTTAGTCGGCGACAGCTCAAGGAACGCAAGGCGCGGATAATTATGTTCGCGCTTGTTGCCGGGCGATTCGTTCTTCGGCAGTCTCGTCGGCTAATGCCACCATCTCATTGGTCGCGGTGCGATAATGATATGAATGCACAAGACAGACCAGGCTCGGAGCTTAAGTTGTCGATGAGTAGATAAACTCTGCTTTCGGGGACTCAAGTCTGAGCAGGGACAAAAGTTAGTTGCAGCGCAAACACGAACGCACAGACTCAAAGTGTGCGATGCCAAAACACGTTTCTCGCGCTTTAATATTGAATAAGTCGACGGTAGCGTGCACGCCTAGCTAGAGCACTGCACGGGCCCGGGCCAGCCCAAAGGCTCAAACCCGGCCCGGCCAGCGGGCCGGGCTCGGGCCGGGTAGTACCTATTTTCTCGGGCTCGGGCAGGGCTCGGGCTTGAACAAAACATTTTCGGGCCGTGCCGGCCCGGTTTGGCCCGGTTTGGCCCGGGCCGAGGCTGGGGAGTCGTGTGCCGCGAATGGAAAATAGTTGAGAACAAAAATTGTGCTCATTGATCTTTAGCTTCAATGAAAGCAAACAAGCGAAATGCAAAATCACTACAACGCATTTCGAGCAAAAAAAAAAAAAAAGGCGACGTCTTGTATTTGGAAAGCCTTTACGTCGTTAAAGGAAACGTATGGATTCCATCAGCATACACGGGAAAGTGCGCTCAACAAAACGAGGGCACTCCAGTCGTAGGGTACAACATGCAAACTTAAAAAAAAAAGAAAAGAAAAACGTGAGCATTAATTTGCACTTTGCGAGGGGGCCTTACTATGCCACCAAAAATAAGCTAACTACCATCGAAAATGTTATGCTAATACAGCCTTTTGAAGATGCACTACCGTGATTGTGGTTGTTTTTTCACAAAAACATGTAGATGAGAATGTTCTCTGTGAAACGAATTGAACATTGAAAACTCCAATATCTCTTCAAGAAATGCTTAGATAAAACATTGCCCACTTTTTTATTCTTCTCAAATTTACTTATGGCGTGCACATTTCGGCCATATACTCGAAGTGCATCGTCTAAATCGGAACATTTATCGTGTCAAAGAAAAAAAAAAAAAACTCGGTCCAAGTTTAAAATAAATTTAAATAAAGTATGCTCGCCTTATGCTTGGACAGCTCTATAGGTTAAAGTCTGGAAACTTTTTTGGGCTCATCTTTATAATCTTTCGGGCTCGGGCCGGGCCCAGGCCGTGCCTCTACCGGACCGAGTCGGGCCGGGCCTTGAGATTCCGGCCCGTGCAGTGCTCTAGCTGAGACACACGAAAAAATGCCGTAATCTATCACAAGGGAAAGTGCAGGCGAGTTGGTTAAACAACATAATTAAAAACCCCGTGAAAAGCGAAAAAAAAAAAAAAAAAAAAACACGGACAAGACAACACAAGCTCTTAAACGCAACCCCGTTGGCTCGTAGCATTGTCAGAGCCCAAAACTTCAGATAAAACGAACTATATCGCAACCGTTTATTTTTCGCTGTAATTCATCGTATAAATTACACCCTGGCGAGCAAATGATTTCAAGAAGGAAAATTTCATTGTGGGTTAGGAAACATCATAAACAAAACATGGAGGCACGGAGATAGTAAGGTAACGGAAGAGACGACACAAAGTTTCAAACACAGCTGGGTTTATTCGCGAGAAAACAGCAATATACGTATAGCCGTCCACGCGTATAGGAAAGAGGGAAGGCAAAAGACCTGTCGCCGCTACGTTTTGACGCAAGTCGGCCAGACAGACTGACCTCCGACTTAGACAGCGCACCAACAACAGGCATCCGTCGTCAAGTCATCCGACATGATGTATCTTTTTTTTTTTGTCTTTTTTTTCCAGCCAATAAAGTTTGGCGATCCCGTTCTGGATAACATGATGACGGCGGCAAGCCTGGACCGATGGAGGGTCATACGCGCCGTTGCAAGCCCCGCGTTTTCTGCGAGCAGAGTAAAAAAGGCACGTCTTACCCGGACTTAAGCGATCTCATTCGTGGATCTGCTTGGTGAGCATTACTAATTCTAAGACCCTTTTATTTATTTTTTTATTTTTTTGCAGTTGAGCAGCATTATTGCAGACTGCGCACGAATCACCGCTGAACATCTCCGGACCTGTGAGGGCGATTTAGAAGTGAAGACGTAAGAGGAAAAAAATATATCTTGTTTTTTTTTCTAAGAGTGGGTAAACGTTTTGCTATCAATACAAAGAAGCCAATAATAGCACTGCCATCCACTAGGGCTGATATAGTGTTTCCTAAACGTTTCATGGCAGCGATAGAATCCAGCATATTCGCATGAAACAGACGACTAGAAAATGGGAGTACTGTATTTCCTGCAAACACAACCTTGTTCAAACTTATAAGAAAACTACGCGTGTTTTGAGATATTTGGAATCAGTCAATGCGAATTATTTTAGATAAGATGACAAAACTCTGCATTCAAAATAAGAGAACGTAAAGAGGAAACAATAGCACAGACAGCAATGACAAAACAAAAACAGGGACGGACAAAACAAAGTGTCGCTTTGCCGTCCTTGCGTTTATTCTTTCAGTGTTGACTCATTGCAACCAACGCCGCCCACCGTATACATTGTAGTCGGGTACTTGCAGCTACAATTGAGGTGGCTTCACCCAGCGGAGAAGACGGGAAGGAGGGAATCGGGGTTCCAGTACAATTGTGCAGCAAAAAATTTCGCAGCCTGGTGGTGAAAATATGAAACAGATGAACGGGGCGATGAAGGGGGATAAAATGCACACGGCTGGAGTCTTCAGTACTGCGAACAATTTTATTTCGCAAATTTAAAAACAAATTTATTCGCGAATTGTGCGGGGTGTACGTTTAAGCTTTACGTCAAAAGCAGTTGATTCTACAAGACGACGGGGCCAATCAATTAGCTTCAAAAGCGCAGCATCATGGAGTTCCTATTTCTCTTTATTCGCACGTATAATATCGTGCGCATGTTATTGTCAGCTAAGCTAATCCAGCTCATTGTACGTGTCGTGATATTGATATATTTGTTCTGTAGGTCTGTGTTTCGGTATTTGACTGCGCCCTGCTCTATACTGAAACCGTGGAGGGTCTACATAAAGTGTTTCCACGCACAAAAGAAATCGTTGCTTAAGAGCTTTGAAAGATATAAACACGGAAGCTGTGGCGTTACGTAGACAGACTCGTAGATATATTTTCGCTTTTGTTTAATTACGGGTGGCGCTGTGATCGCCTATTATAACGTGGCGTCACTGAAGGAGAACGCGTATTCATGGCATCACGTAAGTAGATCGCACGTTTAGATGACAATTCAACGACAGTTCAGACACGAGTATGGACGAGACCTGCCAGATGTTAAAAGCATGTGCAATGTTTTAAGAGACTATTTGAGTTGGTGATGCGCATAGAGCTGGTGGGCCTAGTGTGACTGAGGTGGCTGCTTACGCCGGGCTAACAGCGTCTCAACGCATTCCTCAGAAGGCAACTCGTCGTATGACGAGTGAAATAGGTATCGGCATCGTCCACACTCATTTTTGAATGGTTTACTTTCGTGATACTACAGCACACTGCCGTTTCATCATCTAGGACGCATATTAAAACTAGTGATACTACTAAAAACGTGATCTTTCGGTTTGCATGATGCTTCAACTTCCATGTTTCAATTTGTCATAGTTTTAAGATATTTATTTAATTCAAGGAATGGCTTCATGTTCTCCCTGTGTGGTTATTATCGTCTATTGCTAAGCCGCTGCCCGCGCTATATTTCCCTTTCTTCTTTCACGTTGCAGGTTTTATGCAAACTTTGGCCTGGACGTTATTGCAAGGTGCTCATTTGGCATTAAACTGAAGCCGCATTCTGACGTCACCAACAAGTTTGTCATCGAAGCCAAGCGCGCATTTTCGCGAAACATGACGCTTCCTCTTATCGCCATATGTAAGTTCCCACATGAAACAATGTTTCGCAAATATTTAGAAAGGTTCAAGTTTTCTAAATAATCGCGTTGTTTTGCGTTTGCAGACCTCTTTCCGGGTTTGATACAGTGGTTTAACATTAAGCTCCTTAACTTCGACATAATTCGCTGTTTTAAGGACCTCGCTGGCAAGGCTATACGCGAGCGAGACAAGGGAGGTCATGTAAGTAATACTGACAACTCTATAAGCTACTTTTAACTATACAGGGTGTTGTTCTAATACAGGAAATATTCGAAACAATAAAGACACTGCCAATAAATAAAGAAAAGATATTTCTGCCGAATGACGCTATCAACCGCAGCGGACGTCAGAACGCGAGTATTACACAGAAACAATTAGTAACTTGATTAACTAAGATTTGCTAACTTTTTAATTAAACTTTTTAGCTAGGACATTTTAATTGAAGATCTGTAGCCTATGGTCAGTATAGGTCAAATAGGTTGTTAGATTTCGTTTCCGTCTGGTAACTGTGGGAATCAAGTGGGGTTTGGCCGTCACACTCCAATGCAGGTTTTTGGCTGCGAGACATTGTTCATGCATGACGCTGTTTTGCATAACCAAGGATATATGTATTTATTTAGGGAACACAGAAAAAGTTTATTGATTAAGCTTTTGTGTACTAAATCTGACTTTCGGGCAGGTAGATCGCGATCACGACCGATGAAAAGCAAAGTAAAGCCGACGTTGAATGTTTACGCAGTGTGAAGTTGTCAGCAAGTGTTATCGTTAATAAAATGTTCATCAGAAAGCATATTGTCTTTAGGAATCGAGAGGCCCAGTACATACTGATTTACATGTCACGTGAGGAAACTTTGTATAGTGCCAATTTTCCTCTGCTTGTTACCTAGATTTGTAGTGTTTAATTGGTTTTCTACATCTATTTCTCAAAAGTGATAGTGAACACGCTTACAACTATCCTCCTAGTAATTTTCTTTAGCACTAATAGGAAAATAACACGGATTTGACTAAGTTTATGGCACAGGTTCAATGCCGTCGAAGGGCAGTTTGGCTACTACAATATAAGTGCTAATTTTGTATACCTAATGAGAACCACGCAGCAGTGATTACATGGGTGCATGGCGGTATCACTAATAGGAAAATGCACTGAACTTCTCCAAACGTATGTATGTGCTGCTCCAAAGCTGCTTCAAACTTCAAAGTGTAATCTTTTTGTAATACAAAGTCTTTCCAACCGGCATTCTTTTTTTTCCTGCTCTGAAAATTGCTCTAAACTCCTAATTCGCTGGACCACTCCTGTTGACAGTAACCTGGAAAGCACATGACTGTATCGCGCGCAAACACATTCAAAACCACCCAAAGTTCACCATAATCAAGCGGGGCAAGTCATACTCATATGGCATGCACCACAGATTATAAACTCCCCGCGTTTATCTGAATAATGCAGACAAGTTTTTAAGTCTCTTTTTTTTTTCTTAAAGCTCGAATTGCTTTGAGCACGAATAGTTGTCGGACTTGGACTTATAAAGTCTTCTTTCGCAGAAGTCCGAAGACTATCTCAAACTTTTGATGGATGCACGTGAGGAACGCCATGACACAAATGGATATCCAAACCGTCGTGAGACTCCAGAACGTTCAGGTGAGGTGCTTCATCGAGTAAAAAGTTTTTTTTTTCGAATTTTGTTTCGGCGTTTTTTGGTTATTTCCAGTGCGTAGAGCGTAGGACGATGGCAACATTTTTTTCAGCACTGAGTGAAGTCGAGGTGCTGGCACAGTGCGTCGTCATGTTCCTCGGCGGTCAGGACAGCATATCGTCTCTCATTGCACACACTGTCTACCTGCTGGCCTTACATCCTGACAAGCAAACGAAACTTCGAGAGGAAGTGGACCGATGCTTTAGCTCACACGTACGTCGTGTCGTTCACGTAACATTCTTTGGCCTCTGCACACGCGGCATGTGAAATTTAACGGGTGGAACCAGACCGGTAAAGACGGGGAAAGCCGTCCTCACGGCGCTCTGGAAGCCGTGAGAACGATTTCCAGAGCGCGCTCGTTGCGTTCCGCCGTGCTTTGGCCCCGCATGCACGCTCGAGGCTCACGAGTCGCCGAAGCGAAACCGAAGGCAGGGGTGTTCGCGTTGAAGGCAGGACAACTGCAACTCCTCCCCGCCGCTCTCTCTCTTTCACCGACTACAATGTTACACGGCTCCCCGGATCGCGGAGGTAACGGAGAGATACGATTCAAGTGCACGAACTCTGGCAGGTTTCGTTCTACATTTTCTCGAGGGACGTAGTAGCTCCCACGGTGGAGGAAGTGAGAGGTGTCGGAACGGAGGCCAGAAAGAGGGTCGATAATCAATCAAGACTTCGCGCATTCTCCCAAAGCGGTCTCTGTCGGATTGGGACATAGGCGCGCAGGCGGAATTACGCCTCGAAAACGCGTGGGCGAATAAAGACGGTTCGTCGAGCTCCTATCATGCTGCGCCATCTCACGGCGTTTGTCAGAAACGGGAGCGAATATTCGACACACTTGCTACGTGCCAGGGATGGCAAAATTACTTTTAAAAAGTAATTAAATTACATTACTAGTCACTTTCCTGAAAACTGAAAATATGTAATTAAATTACATTACAAATTACGACAGACTGAAGGTAATGGCATTACATTACAATTACTTTCCGATAGTAATGAAATCACTTTAACATTACTTTTGAATACCTCGAGGCAGTAATTCGTGCTCATTTTATTTACCGTATATGTACTTAAACGCGGACCTTCCTTTTTACACCGCAACAGCCTTATGCGCCTCAAAGAGTCATAGTGAACCATACTGAACAGTCTTTTGCTGACGCACACGACGTAAGTGTTAAACGTGATGAATAGCTTCTTCGTTAGATGTGACTTAAAGACAGTCGACTCGCTGGTTTCGAAGTTAATTCAACGGCGAAGGTCCGTAGTTAAAGGGCGCCATGTTTTCGTCTTCCTGATTTGGAAGAAGCTGTAGTCCCTGTCAGTCTTTTAAGTCGGGCCATGTGAGCTCGTTCTTACAAGGAGTCGTCACGTGAAACGTTTTCCTTCCGCCTCAGAAGCAGTATAATCCTATCGTCCCAGGCGAACTAGTTGACGTATTCCCGGTCATTCCTCTCAAGGACTATTGGTCCCGAACACATGAAAAACCCAAGTTTTTGCGCATTGTCACACAAAGGGGGCTCGGTAATTGCTAAGCAGAAACGTCGCCAGTTGAGAAAAGGAACGACGTGAGCTTCCTAATTTGTATACTTTCGCAACAAACGGTTGGCGATATTAGCTGTATGCTTATTCCCGAATAAACTTTTCAGGGGAAGGCAGCGAGGCATACCACGAACGGCACCTGCTTGCTCGAAGACGCACGAAACGTTCTAGGGCCTTGACAAAGCATCTGGAATTAACTATTTATTCCGGTCGTCTCTTGTTCACAATGGTCACGAAGCTTACGGTTTGACCTTGCTTGAGAAAAGAACAAGAAGGCTGGGGATCTGCTTGTCTTGTCCTCTCAAATTTTAAAACGTGTTGACCTTAATGGTGATGTGCCCTTCGCCTCGTAGTCCAAAAGCCATTAATCTCTATGCTGACATAACGGTGGAAGCTGCATGCTCGTTGGAATAGTCACATGTCTATCTTTCGCCACGTAACCACGCTCCCGTTCCTACCCACGCGCAGAAAAAGGGAAGGGTCAGGTGATTAAATGGAGGTGTTTGATTGGTTCTGGTTAGCTCGCAACTCCCCCCGCACTGTCAGCTTAGGGAAGAACCAAGTACAGCATCGTCGTGATCATGTGAAGCCGTTAATTTCTCTTGCCTGGAGTTCGTAAGCCGTTGCCTTCCAGCGACGTCTACACATAAGCTTTTCTCCTTCGCCTTTCCAGCCCGTCTTTGTGCGTCTGTTTAGTTCTTCGTACGATGCTTTGCGCTCAGGTGGCCGTCGCTTATTTTCTCTGATATCTCTTCCACAACATTCCGCCATGCAAATGAGTTTTTTCTTCTTTTTTTCAAGCTTGTATACGAGTTTTCTAACTTGGGAAAAAGTTCTTTCGTAAGTAATGAGTGATTTTTGTCGAAATTACTGTCTGAGAGTAATTCATTACATTACTAAATTACCTGCCTAAAAAAGTGATTCATTACATTACTCATTACCACAAAAAGTAATTTAATTCCTGTAATTTCATTACAGTAATGTCATTACTGCCATCTCTGCTACGCGCAGAGGCGGCGCCGATTGGACGCCTCCCTACGCTTCCACATGCTCGCTCCTCAAACGAGCGTGGCAAATACAAGTTACTCGTTCGTTTGTTTTTTCCTTTCTCGCGAGTTACGAGCCCACTCAGGGGCGAAGAGAACGTGTTTACTGCCTTCTAAATAAAGCACGTGCGCTGGAAACGCGAGCCTCAATAGGGCCAAGGTCAACACGATTGGCTTCCGTGTCCCCCTTGCCCTTCGCAATTACATATACAAGGGCGTAGAGGAATAAACACGAATAGTGATCTCGCAAGGCTGCTTCGGTCCGCTGACCTTGATTGAATAGAACGCGCTCTCCTCTCCTCCAGAGGCACACCGCTGCATGAGAAAATCGATGACGTCGGTGCTCCCGGTTACCTTTCTTACGAAAACAAAGCGACCACACGTGCCGGCGGTGCTGTTCCGCAACCTGATAGACAGAGAGAGCGCTCGGAGAGGAAGGAGTGCCATCGAAACGAACCCTACTCCGTTTCACATAAAGTCTGACCGCAGCCAACGTTAGGATCCGGCGGAGCCAATCACGCGCAGAAAGAAGAAAACAAAGTGTGGGAGCATGGCACACTCACTGTGCGTGTATAGATTAGCCGGCAATAGCAAACGCACAAAGACGATTATAGACCTTCGCATCGCTTATCACCCTGGCGAAAAATGCCGAGTCACTGAGCTGTGAACGCATGAGCAGCGTCCGATATACCGCACCGCAGAGCAACAGCGCATGCTCAGAGGGCGTTCCACAGCCCAGCAGACAACGATGGCAGCGCGCAGAAGGCGATTTTTCGCGAAGGTATATAGAGCCGTGGCGAGTCAATTTTCGCGCTGCGTGATTCGCTCCATCGGATTGTAGCGTCGGCTGAGGTCAGACTTAAATGTGAAATTGAGTACAGCTCCGTAGCTCTGAAGTTTGGCCAGCGCCTCTGGCGAGCCAAATTGAATATGTCTCGGTCGCCATTTCGGTTACGCATTAATAATTAAGCTGTGGTCACACTGTTTATACATCATAGAAAATAGAGTGTGCATACAGATTCTAACCTGAGTCACAGCGAGATTCGTGCTTCGAATTCCACATGGCTATGGGTACAAGAATAAGCTGGGGCACGTGGAATTCGAACCACGGTTATTGCAGTGATTCGAGCTTGCAGACTGTCCCTTGTATGATGTATTGCAAGTGCGACCTAGGGTGGCTCAAGTGTGACCATGGCTTTACGTTTTTTTCACGTTGCTCGCGTACGCTAAGCTGGCAGATCTTCATTGGTAGAAATAAATTTGCGAAAGAAAGTATCACGAAGAATTGAGCTACAAGAAAAGCATTCTAATCATTTTGGTAGGACACTGAAAGCGCGAGCCACGTATCTATTTTCTTTATTTAAACTTTCTTTAGTTCTTTCAGACGCCCTGCTACCGCGCGTAGACAGATGCTGACACACGCCTCTAAACGACCATAGATCGTGGTTGACCGAACGCTGCAGTGCCACTTTATGCATGATGCAATAATTACGGTCGGGACACACTGGAGCGTTTGCTTAGGATTTCTTACGTTACGCGAGGAGTCACCAGCAAATTCGTGTTTCGTATACCTCGCGTGCAAAGCTGCCTCTTGAACTCGTCGCCACGTTTCATTCGAAGCACGGATGTCGCGGTGGCTCGCGAAGTAAGCAGTCGTAAACGGTCGTAACGTAACGTAATGCAGAGAGACACCCTTGTGTGAAGCGAGCTTTATGCTAGTCTTACGAAGGCGCTCGCGCCCCCTGGTTGAGAGAAACAAGCCTATGGGTGATCATCTCTGCCTTTTCAACTCACTCTCTTTCGATCATGCGATCTCGCGCGCGCTGGAAAGAGCGCTCAGCGTGCGCTGAAAGCACCACCAATATTCGATCACAGTACGTCGCCTCTTTCCAAGCCCTGAAATGTTTGCGAGGCCGCTGAAAGGAAAGACCGTAGATCGAGAAGGGAAGGAAGGCCTGGAGAAAGGCGAGCCAACGCTTTTCGGGCGATTGGGGTAGTTGTGAATGCTACACCGTCACGCCATTCTGCGGCGTTCGCAGGGCGGCTTTTCAGTCATAATTTTTTCTTGATAAATACGTTCTTTTTTTGCGGCCCAGTGTATGAGTGGTTGAAGATGTAAACGTATTTAGCCTCTGTTCTAATTTAAGAAGAAATAAAACAATTTGGAGGAATCAACGAGCAGTTTCAATATTAATCTCTATCGTCTTTTTTTTTTTTTCAATTAGAGCTTGCGAATGGATTGTGCAAATAAAAAAAAACACGTAAATTAAAGTAAGGGACGTTAAAGAGCCAGGCTAGGAACGTGAAACCACGATATAAAAGATTACATAATGTGTCAATTAATAGGCGTATACAGCTCATTCAAAGCATAATAACATAAGTGTGTTTCCTTGTTCCAAGCAGCATCTATTCCTCTCGTAACAATCCCAATCGGCGTCTTTGTAATTAACATGCTGGAAACTATAACCACTAGTATCAAAACTAGCAAAACGACCGCCATCGAAATCGTCACGGGCATGTATGGAATGCGTAGAGGCTCATGAGAATATTCCCAAATTACAAACATATTTTTAGTCCATCAATGGAATGCACCCGTAAGAAGTGCCGTAGCTCAAAAAAGCAAAAAAGCAATCTAAATTTGCTCTTGCAAGCTTTTTAATACAGAGATATGGACATGTTTGTGCATTATCGTTTTGAGTTTTGAACAGGACACTGCGAAGTCGCACTATAAAGGGAACTAGTTCGCCAGAATGAATGCACGCTTTATTACCGCGGTGGGTATAGGGGGAAAGGGATGTACGTTAACTTCTTTAAAAAAGGTATATAAACTTTATAAAGTTTTAGAATACAGACTAAATACTGGCTCTCAAAATGTACAATTAGCACGCTTTTAAGAACGTAATTAAAGTGTAGAATAAAAAAATTCTCCACATTCGAGGGGACAAAAAAAAAAAAAAGGCTGATGTTTTCGCGGTTGTTTTTAATGGAAACATTCGACCTTTTTTCCCTCTGAAGGGTGAGGAAATCTCTCCCGAAGTTATTTCGAAGCTGGATTACCTTCACGGGGTTGTGTCGGAGGCTTTGAGACTCTTTCCTCCTGCAACAAGGTATGCTCGCAACATAGGCCGATCTGCTGAAGATTCATAATTTGTCAAACATCGGAGTTTATTATGCTATGTGTTTTACGCCATTATTGCGTATCTAGGATTCAAATATAAAAATAAACGAGACGAAAACGTACCGTAAGTCTGACGAGCTCCAAGAAGTACTGGTTAGTTCAGTGAAAGCGCTCATTGATGCTTTTTCTGGATGGTGCGTCTTTTTACCAATATAACTATACTAAAATGTACCTACCATCGGATTACTGCCGCATTTAAGGTTTTCTCACAAACAATAGACTTCAGAACGTCATTGTGTACGCATGTTTCTCTGCAAAATTGATATGCAATTGATATAATTTTTTTTATATGATTCATAATTTGTTCCCTAACATTACGTACAGGGTGGAAAATATCTGCTCTGCCAGAGGTTTTCATGCCGAGGAAGCATAAAAGCAATGTGGGCAGCTCTGGTTACGTTAACCTACTAAACAAAAAAAAAAGTTTGAACTGCCACATTTCCTAATTCTGCAATATAGCTGTCGATTTCATAGCTAGATGCAGGAGTCATCCCACGCGACATTTTACGCCTTTTGAGTTGGTGCTGAACTGGGACAGCTTATACTGTCGCTGACTGTACCTTTGTGTACTCGGTCGCGGATCACAAGTCGTATGGGCATCATTATTGGGTTCAACGAGCTGATTTTTATATAATGTACCGCAAAAATTCGTTAATAAATTATGATAAAACAAACATACACAATGGCTTCAAACGGCATGCCGAAGAAGTTGTACTAACATTTGAGAATAAGTAAGCTTTCCCGCGGGTAGCTGATTTCATAGAAATATATTTTGGTTCAATGGTGTGTCTGGTAGCTGAGAACCTGTCAAAAAGATTGTCAGCGACCTTTATTCCTAAAGTCCTATAATGAATGGAATGCAATATTTAAGTATATATCGTTTGAACTTGTTTAGCGTACATTATGCAGTCTTGTCGGGGAGTGAAGACGAACATATTGTGTATTCAATTTCCCGCTAAACTCTGCGGGGAATTCGACGGCCCGTGACACCACAACTTTGCACCGTGACGTCAATTCTTATGCTAAACTTAGCTGGAAATAGATGTCACGTGATCTGACGTCAGGTAACATGTTATCGTCACGTCTATGTCACGCGGTGTCAGGTCACGTGACGTAAACTTCCCCGCTTAATTTAGGGGAACTGACATCACGTGGTGATGTCACGTGACCTGGCGTCACTCGACGTGGTCACGTGACGCGACGTTACGCTCTCACGTGTCTTGAGGTCACGTGGAGTCATGTGGCATCAAGTCACGTGGGGATCAGAAATGTCCGCCAAAAGGCATTCTATGCTTTGATAGTTAGCACTATTGCAGGAGTCGAAGTGGGCGCCAGAATGTTTAGTTCACTTCGAACCGAAGCTCTCCTTAATAGTTGTATGCTCTTAACATAACACTTGAGATTTCAGGTTGACTGCTTGTACTTGGCAACAGGATTGACAGGTCCACAACGGAAGACTACGCTCTCGGTGACACAGGCATCACTCTTCCCAAGGGCTGCACAATCACCGTGCCCATTTATGCCATGCATCGGGATCCTTTGAATTTCATTGACCCGGACTCCTTCATCCCAGAGAGGTACAGCTATATTCTTTTATTAAACGAGGTGATACTGCTTTGTGTCTAAAAAGTGGCAAATCTTTCGGTGTCATTCAAAGTAAAATGTTATCTACTTATATGAATTAATTGTAAGTCTTTATTTCGCTAGATGTTACGCTTTATAAGATAAAGACGCGCGGGACATTTGTGTCTAATAAATGAACAGGGCGTTCTATTTAGAGTAACAACTGCATTCGCCATTTGGGTATAAGACCAAAGAAAGGGAACGTGATTGTTTTGACTTAACATACAAATATTTGTTTTAAGTACCAATGATTGTCATATATAATTTACTTTTGTGTAATATTTCATTTTGTTATATATTTTGTACAACTCTTTCCCCAACTCCTGTCATAGCGCCAGAGAAAGCTGCAGTATTTGAAAATAAATAAATGAAGAAGTGTTCTAGCTCTCATACGCGCCTTGATATTTCCGTCGAACATATTAAAATCACTAATAATATTTAATTTATGTCGAGAAATATCAAAGTAAGAAATAAAAAACATACAGTTTGTGAAGACTTTTTGTGATTCTACCCTTGCCTTTTATTCGTTCACCCGTGTTAAAAAAAAGAAAAAAAGGAGGAGGAGTTTTTCGAGGTTGCTAACCCCTTCTTCAGTTGCCTCAAAATAAATAACATACTTCATCTAAAAAGTGCGATATAAAAGCCCCCAAAAATGTGAAAAACGGAAAAAAAAGAAACTAATGCATCACACTTGGGTACTATAGCAAATGATGCCCCTATTGTCATTAAGATTAAATGCGGATGAAGAAAGCTACATTAATTTTTTTTCATCGACCAGAATTGCCGCATTGCAATTCCCCAACTTTCTTATCGGTACTATTAGTCGTGACTGATGTTTAAGTAGGCCAAGGGGGACAGCTGTCATTACGTTGGTTCTATTTGATAATTATAGGTCTTTATCTGCCTGTAAGGGGCGGTGCACAACAAATTCTGCATAAAAAAATTGACGTGGCACATCACATAAGAAAATGATGATATATGATTTTAGTACAAGAATACTGTTAGGTTCTTCAAAATGAAATGACAAGATATTGACAATCATTCATAAAAATGATCAGTTTATTTACAATGTCAAAGGGATCCTTAAAAGCACAGTACAGTGAAGCAATGTTTAATAATGTCACTATGTTCAATCGATTGCTATATAAAAATATAATTGAATAAAGAAAAATAGCGTACAACCCTAGCTCATTTTGTAGATAACATCTGGAATTTTATTCTATCTTTTTTCATAAATGATTTACTGTTTTCTACAAAGTGAAGGGAGTTGTGAGCTGTGTATATTTTAAGTTTACCATAATATTCGACAGCAAACATTTGTCACTAGCTTCACTAGAGAGAAATGTTTTTCTGTACTTAAAAGGCAATAATTACAAGCGAAAGAGAACTACGAAACGACATGTTATTTTTTGTCACTCTTTGCTGCAGCGAGAACTTGTAGTATCCTCTGGAAAATATCTCATGGCTAGACTCTCGAAAGGATGTTTGCAATTTGAATAAACGTTTTCTAGTGCAGCGGCGGTATTTTAACAGAAGAACAATTTCAACAATACATTTGCGTTTTAGGAGTTATTTTATGTAACTTGGTTATGCAGCCGAAGATATGATCCGAAGTGTCTCATCTTTTAACAAACATCTCATCATGTGAAGTATTTGTAGTTTATTGTGTCTGGGAAAATAGTTTAGGTGCATAGTGTGGTAGAATTCTTTAATTGTGTCTTTGACAGCTACACTTCAGGAGCAACCGGTATTCGGCAGACGTAGCGTTCGACTGACCCGGGCGTCAATCACGAGGCTCTTTATGCCGTCAAAGTCGGTGTGCTCACGGCTAAAACATACGGGAGAGAGCAAATGCTATCTGGGATGCCGCATCCACCCTCTTCCCTTCTCCCCCCTCGCTTCCCTTAAGATGGATAACGGTGAACTGGTTTCTTGGTTCGGGTCGACCGCCGAAGAACTGGAGTGGACGTCTCGTCTTCGGCTATGTCAGATTGCCCCGGCGGGTCACCAACACCTTTTTGCTCAGGTGGTTCTGGCGTCGTGCCCCCCAATTGTGTGTGAGCCGTGCTTCCTCGTGGGCGAAGTTGATCCACGTTCCGCTTCAGTTTGACTGACGTTTCGACTGTGACCATGCGAAAATCAGTCGTCTCTTTTACCGTTCCTGGGAGCCACCTTTCCCCCCTCACCAAAATTGCAACCAAAAACGGAGTAGCCCGAGCCTATGGTATTTGTACACAAGTGTGACAATTTCTAACCAAACGTTTGGTCTCAATGTAAAGTCTAGGCCACCACACGATTATACTTGTGACCTACTTCAGTGCTGAGGTCCCCTGATGTTTCTCGTGAAGAAGTTGCAGCACCTTGTCTGGCGCAGCCTCAGGAACGACGACCCTCTGGCCCCAATATATGATACCTTGAGTCACGGTCATCTCGAACCTCATTGAAGTGCGCGAATATCTTTGCTTGTCGTAGGGCTTGCTTGGGCTTTTCGAGCGACTCTTGTTGCTCCGGACTCCAGGTCCAGCGACTATATTTAACTAGAGGGTTGTAAAGTGGAGCAAGCAAAGTTGCTCCACTCCGAAGAAACTTGCTATGTCATAAGACCGATGCACGAACGTAGTTCGCTTATGTTTTCGGGACTTTGAGCTTTCATCACTGCATTCAGGTTCTTCTTGAGAGGCTGCAGCCCATTGGTGCTGATATTGTGTCTTAGGGAGCCAACTTCTGGCACCCAGAATGTGTATTTATCCTTCCTTAACTTGACGCCATTTTTTTGAACATTAAAGAACCGGTGAAGCGAAATTCGGATTTCACAAAATAGGGTAGCAGTAGTGTTCAACGGGGCGCCACAAAACCCAAAACACCACTCATAAAGCGATATCTCGAACAGATGACCGTATTTTTGTAAAATAAAGGTGCTAGTGAGTAAGAATGGCGACGTCGCGTTTCCTGCAGAATTGTTGAGGAGGAGGGGAAACGGCCTTACTTCCTTCCCTTTTCGCGTCCTTGCGGAGCCAAAGCGAGAAGAGGAGGAAACGAGAATAGGGCGACGTCACGGGCTTTTTTGGTCTTGTTCAAGCGCGCTCTTCTTAAAAAAAAAAAAGAAAAAAAAAAAGAACGAACACTTGTTGGAGATATTGCTTTATGAGTGATGCTTTCGGGTTTATAGCGCCTTGCCTAGCGCTTTCGCCTTGTTTTTTTAAGATCTAAATTTCGTTTCACCATCCCTTTAAGCCTTCTTCCACAGTCTTCGTTCTTCTGTGAAACCAGAACGCCATCCAAGTATGCTCTTCAGCATAGACTCTATGATACGCTTAAAAATGGACGCTGCAGAAGCGAGATAATGAATATGTCTTCAATCAAAATTCTATAAGCCATCGCTGTTTACTGATTCTGAAATCATTCTCCTTGCCGGGGAGTTAACGTCCTTACTTTTTTATTGTTTTGTGACGCAATGCAGGTTCAGTGAAGACAACGTTAGTACCATTTCCCCGTACACCTATTTACCATTTGGTGCTGGCCCCAAGGGATGTCTAGGCACGCACTTGGCGCTTCTGGCAGTAAAACTCTGCTTACTGTACTCTCTTCAAGATGTTGAGTTTTTCCGGACATCGAAAACAAAGGTACGTCTGCCTTGTTGCACTGTTTTGTGAAATCAATGCGCTTTTTACGTACAGGGCTCACAAAGCATTCCTAGTAGTGATACATTTTTGAACCCAAAATGTTCTTTACAATTATTGAAAAATAAATATTATGCACGCACGCTGTTCAAGTTTTTCATTCATCTTAAGCGACAAAAAAAGTTACGAAATACCTTCAAAACAAAAATGCGCAGCTCGGAGTCACTTTCGCTTAACATAATGATGTTTGGCGCGCTGATAGGGAAACCGTTCCTGAAAGGCCAACAGTCGTAGCACACAGGTACAAAATGCGTTTTGTTTTTGTTCAATGTTGCCAGTTCAAAACTTTTTGATGCCCTCTCATATTTTATGTACTGTTGCGGAGAAAACGTTTATCATTAATTTAGAAGTCAAGTGCCTGGATAAACAAGGATAAAGAATGCAACTTTATTCGCCAAAACTATTTTAATCAATAACGGCAAACTGAGAGTCTTTGATAGTGTACATGACACCACTCTGATTGTTCTTATTTGAGCACATCCATAGCGTTTTTTTATTGCTGTTTTGTAAATAACAGCTTCTTTCCACGCTACCTGCAGACAAGAAAAACAAAGTCGCTAGCCTGCGTATTATAACTAGAGCGTCCATCATGTGCCGAGATACCTTTACATCGAAAATCTCAGCGAGGCGTGCGCATCTATATCGATTCTTGCTGTGCGACCTTTGTTCTTCTAATCACGAGTAGTTCTTTTTTTTTTTCGTTCTTATCGAGATAGAGAAAAAAAAATTACTATGCATGCTTTCTTGTTGGTATTTTCGTGTGTGAATTATGCGTCAAGGATACTGGTCGTGGTAACATGCATATGTGGTATGCTTGGAAACCAAAATGTTTAAAGTGAGCTCACGTAGATATGTATGCCTCTTGCAGCTGTGCTTGCTGTAAAATCTGGGAGTACACGCCCAGTCAGGCAGAAAGTTTGTTTATCAGTGCTTGACAATCAAGCAAATACCGTAAAAAAACAAATAAAAAAAACATCAAGCTAAATTTTAAACTGAACATTAACCGCGGAGCATATGTGTGAGCATACACAGTACTGACTTTGTTTTCATAGTGCCGTTTGTTATTTCACAGGTGCCTCTGAAGTTCTACAACGGTTTCGGGTTACTCCACTCCGCGCCTTTTTCTGTTGGAATCAAAAAACGAAGCACTGCGCCAACGTCAACCAGCACTCACAATACGAATTAAAAAACCCATACTGTAAATAAAATAACATTTTTGTAAGCATACGGGTATTACGTGTTGTAATTAAAATAATTTTTTTGAAAGCCTACGGGTATTACGTAGATCATCCGAGAATAAAAGTTAGAAATGTATATGGATTGGTCAGTCCGATGGATGTCATTCAATTTTTTTGGCTTGACTAGTCAAGCTGACCCAGTGTCAGACTTTATTTAGCGTGGGCCTTTTTGTCGTTCCGCTAAAATTTCAGCTCGCTTCAATGTTAATTTTTCGTCGTCACTGAGAACTTAAAATTATTTAAAACGACCAATCAAATTCCAGCATCACTGGGCGTACGAACTGCCAAGAGAGAAACGGCGTCCCAGCCAGCCACACGCTGTCGTCTGTCTATGAAGTACTTGCACCGAAAGGTTATGTGGAGATTATTTTCCACTACTTTTTACCCTGATTTATTAACACATCACTTCAGGTTTGCGACGGCAAATATATTTTGTTGTTGCTCCGATAACATGATTTTAAACTTTAGTAGCATGCATGTCTCACGTCACTCTTTCCTTTTACAAAACGAAACACGTATATATCCTATTTCTTTCTTATTTTTTACAAATTCTATACTCTCAGTGCCAGAGGCATAACGAATGATGTTTGCTAATCGATGCGGTAATTTCTACCGGCGATAATCTCTGATTTTTATGCCACGTGACCAGCTACACTTAAAGGCCGACGTACAACTTCGGTTTTCCGCAGGGAAGATAATCCTCTTAGCGCTTCACTCTGCTAAGCTCCGAGGGGAGCCAAATTGGAGCAAGATAAAAAGTGGAGAGGATATAGGAAAAAAGGAGGTGCGCAAAAGTAAAAAGCCCGAAGTGAATGTCGGCCTTTAAAGTGAAGAGCATAAGGTTGTTCGGATAAAGAGCCGAAAAAGACAAGGACGAGACAAGCTGAGCAATAAAAGGCGGACTCGAATATACAGTGTATTGAAACAACACCTATTATAAGGGCGATGTAGAGATCCCATGTCATATTTCTGTAAACGGTTTGATGTATCGGTACACTTATCGTAGTAAGGCTACGGATGCTTCGCTTACACAGTTTGTAACTTTTGTTCTAATTTTAAATACTTCGTGTGCCCTTTTGGGCATTTTGTCTTCGTACGAAACTTACAAAAATTTAGATTTCGTGAAACGCTGGTGACCATGGACATATGCTAGAAGGAATGACAAGATGTGCAGTCCGGCTCGTTCGCGTGTCAACGGCGTGCTGATGAGCGCGGTCGCTTACACGCCCAACCCTCTGGTACATACGCGAGACCATAAATGAGCCAGATTTCGTAGGTGACTCTCGTGGCAGACTCAATAAATTTCTTCCTAATGTTGCTTTGCTACAAATGTCTTTGGTTGTCTTGCGGTTGAGTCATCCTCTTCTACTATAGTCTCGTCCCGACCAGTTGCGAGCAATGTAACATGCAGTGCCCGGTTATTGGCGATACGGTGTTTACGGACTCACCAATTGCTATGCGCTACGCTCGCAAGTCCACTGACTGCTAAACTCACTAGCAGGTTGCAGACGGAACGCGACGCAGGTAGGTTTCATATCTAGAAGCAGTTTTAATAAAGCAGTGTCCTCCGTTTGCTTGGACGACGCTAGCACATTACTTGTAAAGACTGGATATGTAAAGCGAAATTTGATTACATCTTATTTTCACTGCGTTGCATTTAACTTCTGCAACATATTCTAACATTTGCACACACTCAATATACGCATACTTAAAAAGTTATTGTTCGAAATTAAGTTTACTTTAGTATTGTTCGATAAGTCGTTTTCACGGCCGAATATTTTTTTACGCATTGTCAAACGTAGTTGCTCAAAGAACCAGTCCTTGGCAAAGATTTGGTACACGCATTAACTACAAAAATATAGGAATAGTGCCCCTTTGAATTGTATTAAGCAATTTGAATACTCTAATTAATCCGCTGTTCAAATCTGCCAGTCGGTCACGCAATGCCATGGTTCTGCATATCTACAGCGTCTACGAACGCAAGTTCCCACACGAACAGAGCCGTGTTCCAAACCCATGGCTGCAGACTTTTTCTGAATAACAATAGTAGCTCTACCTGTAATTTAGCACCTCACTTTCGAATCTTTGCGTCGCCACGTCGAATGAGTAGGGTCACCCCCCCAATTGTGGTTGACTTTTAATTCGGACCTCACGGCAGAACAAGACAAATAAAGTTGCTTCACTAATTGGAGCAACCAATCTTTGAACAGCAAAACGTAAAATTATTCTGACTCGTATTGCAACATTGAAACGTGCGCAGACTGGTATGAACGTCACAATATCGTTCTAGATGGCGGGTCGGCGAGTCATTACATTACCGTGCGACAGATGGTGCTCATTTCTACTTTATGCGACAGGTCAGAATTCAGGTTGAAAATATACCCTTAAAAAGCCAATGGTCAGTAAATATTTAATATTGCATAAGGGGCGTTTATTTCCGCCAGCAGTAGTACAGCAAGTTTTAGATATCTACCACGGACAAGTATGGTAGCGAATATAGTCACAAAGTCTGCTTTCACATGCATTATACGGGATGTTTCACGAACGCGGGAGTCGCTCCTGCGAAAAGTATACGCATCGCACAGAAAAATGGCTGTTGTCATTTTGGCCTCTGTCGAAGGGCCTGTTTAAAAAAACCAATGTGGCCGCAGTATTTTTTTCAGTGCGATCTGCACTTTTCACAAGAGCGACTTGGCCCGCGTTCCAAGAAAACACTATCCCTCCAAAACCTCCAAAACCAAAACTGGTACTCCAAAACGAAAAAAAAAAAAAAAATAATAATAATAATAAAAAATTTATCAATTTTTTTTGTAACCAAGTGATTTGCGGAGAAAGAATTGTTAATACTTTTCTTAATTGTAAATATATTATGGAGGTACACTGTGACCGCGGAATGATACAGTTTGTGCACAGAAAAAGAGAATTCCTGCATCAAACTTATATTCATTGTTGAGGGGTTATAGGAATAAGAGTGTAGTAAGGCGCTTTTTGTGTTTTGGTTCAAGGTTTATTTTAAACGTAAAATTATATTTGGTGCCTATGCTTAACTACTCCTTTAAAGGATCCATAGTGGTAAAATCAACTGTCCCGAAATTGAACTTCCAGGGGGACTTTCAGTTTCCTCGAATGTTAGTTCTGGGGCTGCGGTGTTCACTAATGGGATAGTTTATAAATTGGCGTTTGCCTTTAAATTGTTTATACTATTATTAACTTGGTACTAAACCGATAAGACTACATTTTTTTTCAACGCAGTAAGATGGGTTCAGTCCAGGTCTTTGTCTGCACATGCCAAGAAAACGTTTAAGGCAAAGGGATTCATTAGTGGGAATGCGGCTTTTGGTATAAAATATGAAGAGAAGCATTTACTAACACAGCGTTTTTCTTCCGATATATTTATTCTGAAGACTCGTTCGTTAAATTCATGGTGCGGCATTTTTAATCAGTTCCCAATGTAGTTTGAAGCCTGTGCTACTTCCCCAAATAACTGTGTCCTCATTTTATGACGGAAGCGAATTGATTTTGTTTAAGCCAGACTTTATTGGTCATTTTATTGGGTTGAAAACAATTTAATTCTCCAGACAAAAAGATTAAACTAATAAACTGGCCACAGCAAAGCGACGAAAAAAATAAAAAAGATCACGAGAGATTAAAGTTCCGTCTTTGTGTTGGTATTTAAGATTAATGCGTGAAGACTAGTTTTCTGACGAAACGTAAGTGAGAGGACATAAAATGTGGCAAGGATTTTTTGTGTCATTATTAAACTTGCACGAGAGGATTACTGACTGATGTCATCTCAGCGACTGTATTCTATTACTATGCACATTAGAGACCATATGCTAGCAGTGGTACAGCATTTGCGAAATTTCTCGTCTGCACCGGGGTAACAGACACCTATCGTCACTGGCTAATAATTCCTATTGTCTAAACATACACACAGCACAATTACTTCAGTGTCTTTCGGCGCTTTCAGTTTTCAAATGAAGTAAGATCTAGATGAAATTAAAAAAAAGTTCTCGGGAGTTGCGTAAATAAATCAAGCATTCAAACGGTAAATTGCACAATTGCACAGTGAAAAAGAGAACACGGCTTTTATCTCTTGTGCTGTCACCCTAGATGATAAGAAGAAAGGGAGGTGGTATACACTCCGTGCGACTAAAGCCGTGCGACGCGACCGGCCCGCCGACGAGCAGCCGTTACCGAAGGTGGGCAGTGAGAACCCCAGCGAAACTACAGAATTGTAGACGTTCTTCCTGCACTCTGGTCGTTCCGGTCGCGTCGATTCTCGTGTTTTGTTTGACAGCTTGGCTCATAAAGAATATTTGTGATGTTGGGGCAGTTATTTCTATATATTTCTGCACAAACGGTTGGCACTTCTCCATCTGCGATTCTTTCTTGCACAAAGAGTGAACACCCTACAAAAACAAAACAAAAAAAAAGTTGATCATTAAACTCTCAAATTGTGGGGGAAGCACACCATGCATCCTCTATCCCTTCCAAGTGTAGTAAGTCGGCTTCGTAACATATAAATTAGTTGCCAGATTGCAGACTCTAAGCCAGCACAATATAAAAGCACATCGTGTGCGTCGTACTTTTTTTTATTATCGTAATGTGTGCACACAAGGCGGTTGAACCAATACGGTATTAAGACATTTAGAAATTCATGAGTGTGCACCCGTTCTGGTCGCTGCCTCAACTGTTCTTATTGATTATGCGAAAAAAAATTATTTGATTTAAATACAACATATGCGTTTTAAACGAATATGGGGCGTATAGGTCATAAAACATACTTTTGCCCGTGGACAGAACGAAACAAGAATCAGACCATTCAAGACGTTGAAATTTGTCACTTAATACTAATTCGATAATTTGTTGTCTTTAAAACAAACGGATAGAGTCTTAGACACCAATAATTATTGTTAATAAACTAGCGATAATAAAGCGGTAACATACAGACACGAATGAAGTCACGGAACATTTTACGCGAGGAAAACCTAACAAGGCAAAAGTAAAAACATATGGTGGCTTTGTAAGAGACACCTTAGTCAAGGCCAGATAGCCTGTATTGTTGTTTTGGAGGTTATCTGTGTAGATATACAATAATAAAGATGCAAAGTTTGCGAATAAGTTTTACAATAGAACTGATCAACAATTGATTAAGGCCTTTCAAGTTAAGACAATCAGTCTCTTTCAGGACGGAGAAGTGTCTTTGATAATGTATTGTATGACCATTTAAAAATCCATACATAAAGGGGCCTACACAATACAGCTAGTTTTGGCCGAATGCCATTCAGCGGTTAAATTTTAATATGTTAATTATATTAAACGTAATATTGCGAATTTAGCATTATTAGGTCTCATATTTTTTTCCAGAACTCCACTTATCTATGCACATGGCTGGCTCATCGGCGTCAACACTGGCTTCACCTTGAAGCCTGGAAGTGTTGGCGGTAACACGTTACAAGTAAGGGCGTTACCGGCAACGCCTTATTTTCTTCGGTGACATAGTAACGTACGCGTTACGTTTCAAGACGTTAACGCGTAAGCTACTTGCGTTACTCATTTCGAATAATGCTTGACTCGTTGCATGTTCTCAAGACTACAAGAAAATTACACTTCAATTTGTTCGTGTTTCTAGACACCAAATTATACGAATTCTTGTCGTGACCCTACATACATTCAAACTTAAAATCGTAAAAACATGAGATAATTATGTTAAGTTCCTGCATGGACATAATATTTCTCAAAACGGGGCGCTTATACACAACCTGTAGTGACAAAGCTGTGAAACGTTTCAATTGATAAAACGTAGCGCAAAAGAAACGTCCCTTACTTTTTATTTGTAATGGTAATAATAACAGTTTAATTTAATTTTCTGCTAACGGCAGTCTGTCTGTAACACGTTACGTTAATTTACATAGTTGCTTTTTCCGGTAGCGCCTAACACTCCAGCCCGGGCATAGGTTGACAAATTGAGATGTTAATTACCATTCTGCTGTGAGGGCACGCGAAGCACACAGCATGTTCTATTGGGATCGAGATACATCAAAATAAATAAAGTATCGTTTTTATCCCCTGAAAAACAAAAACATTCATGAAACAGTTGTATATGTGAATTATGTTACGATACTTTTTTTTATAGCAACTGCCGAAAATACAAGTTGAGATGCGCAAATATCATTTGAGTCACATCAAGGGGTCGAAACTTCCGAAGTGATGTTCGGAGTTCGAATGGTAGTGTGACATAGAGGCTCAGGTGTTCGAAACAAATAGCAAATATGTTGTAATCTAAACAAGTAGAATTGATTAAAAAACAGATGAATTCAATGCGCGCAGCGGTAAAGAAATAAAACGCTGCCGTGACATTTCTTTGTCATTAAGCCATCTGCATCGGATTTGATTGGCACGTACCAACTTCAAACCACTTCTCAGAGCCTCAAGAAAAGTATCGATCTTTCTTGCAGGCTGCATTCCCTTTGCGGCGTTTCGATTAGTTGGTAAATATTTGCCTACACGTTTCTAATGTCAATATATATTAGAAGTTCACAGAAAACTTTTTTAAATTTGTTAATGGCTCCATTTATATTAAATTGAGGAGAAAATCAGCATAGTTCAGAATGCGTTACAGTGTAAAAATGGATAAACTTGCAGCGTACACTTGACTGTAACAAGATACTAGTTATTTCACCTCAATAAAACATTATTTGCTTTAGTCACTACAGAGAACTGTGATTCTAACTTTTTCTGGGCCTACTTCTTCAGATTCCTCGGAATCTGCCTGGCCTCACACACCTTCATTTATCGTGGGATTGTATTTTTCATAAAAATCCGAACTTTCTTGCACCAGCTGCTACACGTCCAGCTCAGAAGGTTAAACAAATATGACGAATTATGTATTATTCCAATAAAGGCCAGAATGTTAGAGGTTTCCCGTGCACCTGAGATGCATAAATAAATTATATTACAGTGTTTTTATTCTCCCATATATTAATTTTTGGTGTTAATGAAAAAAGCGAACCTAATTTTCTTCAAAACATTACCGAACGAATCGCACAAGCAACGTGAAATTTAAAATTGATAGGAAGTCAGAAAGGATTTAAGACATAACATAAAAACCAAAGCAGACCGATATTCTGAAATTTATTTTCACTACGTTTACAGGGAGTTATGTATACATTTTGAAATACAATTGTCGCCAGGCGTAAAGCGTGGTTCATGCAAAAATCCGAAACGGCTCTCCACAGATTCAAAGGCCCCTCACGGCATTTTTCAGCACGCGAAACTTGCCATTTATAATATTGAGGATGTTGCATAAAGATATCTTGGGCTCAATGCTGCGTTTCGTAACAAATCTCGACATATAAACATTGCGTGTGAATATTGTCTCGTGAAAATTGTGGTCCAAATGGTTTTGAAGCCCTAATATTAGGATGCAACGACCGATTTCCAACGGCAATGTTTTGTCAGTTACCATAACGGTGTGGTAAGATGGTGCGCTATACTTTTTACAATAAATTGAATAAAAAGCTTTGTCTTTAATACAATATTACAAACAAACTAATATAAGTCAATATAAAATTCTACACTTTTTTGGCAAACTAAAAACAGAACAGGTTGTGGGGTGTTAAGGCATCTATATTAACGAGCATAAAAAATGGCAGAGACAAAATGGCTAATATTTTGCTTCCATTCTCTGTTTTGCCCTGTCAAACACTGTAGTAGCTCAGGGCAACATTGTTTCTTCTTAATACAAACAGTCTCAAATCTACATTGGTTCTTTGGAAAATGCTGGCTTTTACTTGAACACTTCTATTTAAGTACTTTGTCCATATTATATTTCAACAGGGCACATGCGCCGCTTAGTCGCATTTTGCAGTAAATTAAAATGTGTTGTTTGTACACGAATCTGTTTTTGGCGTTTTTATTTTACACTGAGTTTTACAAAAAACGTTTGGTGCACTTTTCCCACGAGTATAGATCACTTTAAATGGCGATTTCACGCTGTAGCCCACTGGGATCTCTCCAAAGAGTTTGACACTTTAGCGAGCGAGCAGCTCACGCGCCACATGCAAGAACGCGGAAGATGGCAGCGTCCTGAAGTCAATCATTGCACCAGCGTAGTGGTGAAGGGGCACAGGGTGCTAATATCAAGATAGGGCAACAATATGATAACTTGGCATTAAAGAGGAAATCGAAAGACACGACGGCAAGGTCAATTTTAACAATACCGGTGCAATCACATACTTGGAGACGTTTTGTGCAGCATAGCATTCGAAGCATTATGCCCAGGGGTCGTGGTTGAAGTGACCGGTAAGTTGAATGTTCTGCCGAGAAATGCACACATATATTTATAATTAAGAATATAATGTTTCACACAAAAATACTTACATTCTTGTTCCATTTGGAAGCCGTGCGCCAAACTGACTTAAGTATGTACCATTACCATAGGTGCACTGTAGTGTCGACGATAGGCATTTGAATGGGCTTTCCTTTAGATAGGTGCGGTATTTCATGTAATATGTCTCAGTTCCGCTAAACAACTGCAAGAAAATGTGACATATATGTTAGTACAATATACCATTATCAATCTCAGTTGACCCTATTTTATATTTATTCGTACGAACCACAAAAAGGAAAAAAAAAGGGTAAGGAAGAAATATAAATCAAGCGAGAAGGATAAGTCGTTCTCGCGACAAGATCGCAAGCCAGCCTCCACCCTATCCTAACGCTGGCGAGTGAGATTGAGTGTATTTAATATGTAATCGTAATCCCAAGAGCATTGTCTCCTATTGTTTGAATAGACCAGGGGTCGGCAATCTTTTCGCTGTAGCGGGCCAAATCGCCGCGAGACGGAGACGGAGAGGGACGGATAAAAACCGGAGAGGAGGGTATTTATTTATTTATTTATTTATTAAACCCTCAGGGCCGGAGGCATTACAGAGGGGAGTCGGTTACAAAGGGAAAATCACACTTAAAAAACAAAAAGACAACCTAAGAAAATAGGAACACGAACATAGTAACCATTAACTTAGAAAATTGGTGAAATAAAGGTTAAACACAATGGCATTTGTTACACACACAACTAACAATTGAAGGTGGATCCACGTGATTGTTGTTTTGGGGATGAACGAATTATCAGAAATAGTGGTTTTACAAACAGGTAGGCCAATTTTGTGTTGGAAATCGGCGCTTGGCTTGACATGAGGGAGGAGTTAGTAATTTATGACGCAAGGAAGGATTTTGACAATAAATACTGTATTATGAAACGGACAACTTCACGACGTGAAGAAATGTTAGATAGGTTTAAAAGAGATTTTATAGATGTTACGCTTGCAGTACAGGAATAATTAGTAAGAATATAGCGGATAAATTTATTTTGAATACTTTCAACTGCTGTTGTAAGTAAGTCAGTGCAGGGATCTCATATAGAAGGGGCGTATTTTAATTTAGAACGCATAAGGAAGGGTTTTATAGTTTATTAGTTTGAGAGACACAGGAACAGATGGAAAATTATGTTTGAGGAAACCAAGCAGGTGGTTAGCATTGCTACTACAATGAAATACGGATTCCCAAGTGCTTGTACGATGGTGCACGCTGCAACAAAGCACTGTTAAGATAGTAGGGAGAAGTGTGCGAGTTAAGTGGATAAACAGTCATTACTTTACATTTGTTACTGTTAAGCTGCATATTCCATTTCTTACACCAATTAGAAACAAAATCAAGGTCATACTGAAAAGAGCAACATGAGAGGTGTTGGTCATTTCACGGTGAAGAACGCAGTCATCCGGAAGTAAGCTAATAAGGACGAAACGCATGAAGGTAAGTCGTTGAAAAAATAAAGAAGAGCAGGGGACCCAACACCGAGCCTTGAAGAACACCTTATGTCACGGGAGCTAGACTTGAAGAAGTACTAATTCACGGACGCAAATTGAAATCGGTTATTAAGGAAACCACGAATCCATAAGAGTACATCCTGATCAATGTTAAGTTTGCTGAGATTATGGAGCAGTTTTATCTGACACTTTATAGAGAGCTTTAGAAAAATCAAGGAAAATGTAATCCACCAGAGAACCACGATCAAACATAAGGTGAAGCGTATGAGTAAAGGTAAGTAGCTTAAAAAAAAAAATTATATGATCGACGCACAGTGAACTACAATGCCTTGCGCTGCACGCTGTATCTTGCGAGGATCTTGGCGCCCAGGTTCCGCCTTCATAATTTTCAAGGGCTCCCAGTTCACATTCCAAAATCCAAAGACCCAGACAAACTAGAAGCCTTCAGCCCAATTGCTCTTTGTAATGATGACCTACAAGATTTATGCTAAAATTCTGACTAGTCGCCTGGCCACAATAACCATAGGAACATGGTGTAATACGCCAAGACAACAATGACGAAAACGAAGGGAGAACTGGACAGGATACGGCGTTACTTTCAACTTTGTCAAAACATGTAGAAAGGTCCGTTGTATAAGAAACGAATCCAATAAAAATGGCTAGTTGGTTTTGCATCAACAAGTACGAAAGTTACGCCGCGTCCTGTCTAGTTTTTCTTTCGTTTTCGTCCCTGTTGTTTTGGCGAATTATAGCATGATGCAAGACCAACTCCTTCTCCATAGGAAGTATATGTGTGTGACAGAAACTGATAAATTTGACAATCGGACAAAACCGTGATCTCGAACAGTTTATGCTGGATACGATGACCCTAATCAAATTCTAAACGCACCGGCTTGATGCACAACAACTGCAGATAGGTTGTGCATACAGTATATGGGCATAGAAAACTAACCCCTTGTTGTGCTGTTTCAGAATTAATACGTCCGATTACACAAGGTCTGCAAACTGCCACATTTCTTGCACCATTAGTTTTCCAGGGGATATGTGTGCATCTGTTTATAGTTGGGGGAGGGGTGCTTTCAAGTAGCGTGCCAGGGGCCGTATCATGTAGACCCGCGGGCCGGATCCGGGTCGCGGGCCGCTGGTTGCCGACTCCTGGACTAGACCATATTACGAAGCTTATTTGGACCTATGAGTTATCTAGAGGTTAGTTCACCAATCGTGAACGTGTTACATTCGCGTCGTTTATCTTAGTTTGGGTTTTAATGGCTGCAGTCCCAGAGAACCCACATTTTATGAGAATAATTTCACGTTATAAAAACAGACACTATCTACTTTTTTTTGCCTGCCTCTACCCAGTGACTATCAGCAATGGCAATTGCAACCACTCCGTAAGCATCATGGCCAAATCTCTTGGACATTTTGTGGAATAAAATGTTTTCAAGGAAATATCAAGCTTCTAGTGTATTTGTGTTCTTTTATACTCAGGCAATTGCAGTCGTTGGGAACATTAAAACCTTTCGTCAAGAGAAGCTGAAATTGACAATTTTGTGAATACGGCCCATAGGATTCAATGCAAAGGTTTTTAGAGCCGTGGAGTAATAATGATATATTCGTCCAAACGTTGAATTACTGCTTATTGATATTTTATGACTCTCAGCTGAGATATCCCAGGAAAACATTGCAATTATAGTTGTTATTCAGTTGAAATTCTTATTTTACAGCATGCGCCGAGGCGTTGATAATAATAATTAATCTTTATTTGATGTGTCCACAAAATGCACGTGGCCTAAAGAGTGGCACACAGTTCGCCGAAAAGAAAAGCAAAAAAAAGTGAACACAACAATAACAGGTTTATAATTACATGCAAAGTCCTGACTCTAGATTTTAGATGTTGTCGAAAAGTATTAATGTCCCTCAAAAACGTATACAACAGATTGTTCATGTTTATCGAATTCCAGTTGCAGTCTCGTTTGTGGTGATGTGTCGGATGTACCTATAGAGTAAAAAGGACTTCGAGAACGACTAAATCGCAAGGGAGCATGAAAACAAACAGTGCTCAACAAAGGTGGCGAATCAACATCTTTGTTCACAATGTTATGTAAAAACAATGAATCACGTAAACGTCTTCCATTCACTAAAGTACAGATCTCTAGTTTTTTTTAAGTCACCCTTCATAGTTGTAGTAAAATTTGTGTCCAAGGCACCTGTCATAAATAAAACCAATAGGGAGTCTTTGAATAGGCTCAATAGAACATGGGTTGATACAATTCCAGTGATGGAAGCGGAATTTGACATTTTGTAGCAGACATTCTGTAGCATTCCTTTGGAACATTCACTGATCCTTTTGGAACAAATGTCAACATCTGTTAGCGCATCACTTGAAAATAAAAAAGTGATTGCATCGCTAAATGAGTTCATCTTTGATAATGACTGAGAGTTCTTCCTTGATACTGGAGCATATTGCTTATTACCTTTTCTATTAATAGATGGGTTCCCAAGGAACACAGAGGGTCTTTTTTAGAAATAAGGCACCATTCAGAAAAAGCTCCACTTAGAATGGGTACTAAAAATAGGTAAAAAATTAATCATAGCGAAACACTTCAGTTGGGAAAAAGCTTTTATCCCCTCGTACTTTTACAGCGCGTTGTTTATTTACCCTGCGTATATAAGTTCTGTAAAATGCCTGCAAAAACCATCGTTTACCACAAAAAAAATGCGTTCCCCAAGCTTCATGACCCTTCCAAACTCAAGACTTTAATACTGCCAGGGATGAAGGCGAAAGGCGATGAATAACGAACTAAAATAAAGGTCTAATAGAACGATCTCACCAGCCAGTTTGACTACGCCACCACTGCTGCAATGCATCGAGGGAACTTTAGTCTTCCTGCACGTGCGACAACCTCGCTGGAGCTCTACGCGTGTAAAGCACAAGAAGGCACGAGCCCTCGCGTGTACGGCTGTCTGCCTTTTGTGAACTAAAGTTATGGCGGCGTCACACATGCCCCGAACGCGGCGAACTTGTGAAAGAAACAAAAGGAAGAGCAAACGTCAAGAAAGCAGCAGCGAGCGTCGTCGGATGCAGCAGGAGCCACGGTGCGTCGGCGTGACAGCTGGCTACCGCGAGAGTGAATGTGCCTCGTCGTCGGGAGAGTCTGAATGAATGAGCCGGCAAGACCACGGTAATCTTCCCATCTACGACACTCGGCACCTTTAATATTCGGGGGTGAGCTAGGACGAGAATGACTAGGCAAGGTAATTCTGACCTTCTTGTCTTTTAAGCTTTGGGTAAGAGTGTACGCGAATCTTCTGGATGAACGGAGAGTCCAACTTCATTTTTATTGGTTCCCCTTGAAGTTGTAGCTCGAACACGAATGAATCGGGCCGAGACGCATGTCCGTTGGCGTTCAAGGCACGTTCTCGATTGCCACGCGCCACGAGCGCCCGCGCAGTCTACATCATTATTTTCTAGCGCGCGTGTAGGCAACGGTGGCGCTAGCTCTTGTTTAGTAATTTAAGAACCACGAAGGATATATGTTAGGCTGAAAAAAGCGCTTAGGCACATAGCCATCAATTGCGTTCAACAGTAGTTTTGCAAGAGCTTCAAAAGTTGAATGAACGCACTCGTCATTCAGGATCGGATTCCAGTCATATCACTGAAGGTATTCGTACATATTAAGGTAATCGCCACTATTGTACAATAAGTA